AACCGCGTTTACAACTAGCGTGAAAGGCAACGATTTGACTAAGCAAGAGATTGAATCAGTGCTAGTCAAAAAATTCGGTGAAACACTCACAAATGGAGCACTAACATGGTATTCTCTTTTACCTGAGAACTCTATTGATTCTTTTACTAAGCTTGCAGATTCGTTTATAAAAGCACACTCGGGAACTCAGAAGGTTGAGAAGAGGATGGAAGACATCTTCAAAATAAAACAAGGAGATACGGAACTACTCAGGGAATTTGTAAATAGATTTCAACGTGAAAGAATAATGCTACCACGCGTACTTGATAATTGGGCGGCTATGGCATTTGCAAGTAATTAAAATGAGAAGAGCTCAGAAGCCAGGAGGAGACTCAAAAAAAGCTTACGAGAATTCCCTGCAACAACTTGGAATGATGTTCATAACAGATATAGCACGAAGTTGCGGATAAAAGAAGATACCATCACTCAGTCCCGGGGAGATGAAAGAATAAGTTCAAGGCGACCAGAAACTGAAAAAAGGTCCGGTAAGAACAGGTGTGAACCTTACATAGGACCAGCAGGAAGGGATTCATGATCAAAACAAGAGAATCCGAGGTACGATTCCAGAACAAGGGACAGAGATTTGGGTTCGTCATCCAGGTTTGGAAAGGAGCGAGACACGTGAGATACGCGAGACAACGACAGAAGTTCAAAAGCGAAGATTGGTGGTTACAGCTTTAATGTTAACACATCTGAGTTGGTAGTTATTTTAAAAAGCATGGGAGATAAGTGCGGTGGCCAAAGGAAATGAGATCGAACCCAAATAGAAGAAACCCTAATTTCTGGTGCGAGTTTCATAACTATCATGGTCACAAAACAGCAGAATGCAGATTGCTACAAGGTGAAGTAGAGCACTTATTAAAACAAGGCTACTTAACCGATTTATTTAGTGAAAAGGGTAACCAAGCATATATGAAAAATAGACAGGAGCCACCAAAACTTCCATCACCAAAAAGAACAGTAAATGTCATAAGTGGAAGGGAGGAGGTCAATGGCGTGACATATACGGCTGCAAAGGTGTCAAAAATCACAGTCAACCACGGGAAGCGAGTTCACCAAGTTCTGGAAGAAGATAATATAACATTTGATGATGCAGATGTGAATGGTGTGTTGATCCCACACAATGATGCACTGGTAATATCTTTACTTGTACATGACACTAATGTAAAACGAGGTTTGATTGATCAAAGTAGCTCTGTAATATCATTCTTTTAAGAGTGGTAAACGAGATGCAAGCTGATGACAAATTGGTACCGAAAGCACGTACCTTATCTGGATTTGACAATTCAAGCGTTGTCACAAAAGGGGAGATAATACTCACAACAGTCGCAGAAGGAGTAGTTAAAGATACGAAATTTCAAGTAATAGATATGGATATGGCATACAATATGATCCTTGGCAGACCTTGGATTCATGAGATGGATATTGTTCCATCTACCTTACATCAGATTATCAAGTTCCCTTCGCAATGGGGGATAAGACAAATTCGTGTTGATTAACAGGCTTCTCGAAGCATTAATTTAGTAGCAGATTCAAGCGCAAAAAATGATGTAGCGGATGGAAAATAGCAATTACAGAATTCAGTTGAGGATTTAGCAGCACAAACCCCAACTGCAGATGGACAAACGGATGTAGACTCAAGGCCTAATACTATCCAAAAGCCAGAAGAGAACGAAAACATCAAAACAACAATTGAGGAACTTGAAGCGGTGGTGCTGTTTAAACATTGGCCAGACAGAAAAGTTTACATCGGAACCAACCTGAGCCCGGAGATGAAAAGTAAGTTGATTGAATTTTTGAAATTTAACGCAGATTGCTTTGCTTGGTCGCATTCAGATATGACAGGTATACCACCGGAGGTGATGACCCATAAGCTGAATGAAGATCCAACGTATCCACCTGTTAAACAGAAGAAAAGGAAGCAAAGAGCTTCCAAAAATCAGGTGATTCAGGATGAGGTACAAAAGCTTTTAAAAATTGGATCTATCCGTGAGGTAAAATATCCTAATTGGCTAGCTAATACCGTAGTGGTACGTAAAAAGAAGGGTAAGTGGCAAGTTTGCGTAGACTATACTGATTTGAATAAAGCTTGCCCTAAAGATTCTTTCCCGTTACCACACATAGATCAACTAATTGATGCTACTGCAGGACATGAACTATTAAGCTTTTTAGATGCCTATTCAGGGTACAATCAAATAAAAATGGATCCTTTAGATGAGAAAAAAATTTCTTTTATTACAGATAGGGGGACTTACTATTATAAATTTATGCCTTTCGGCCTAAAGAATGTTGGAGCCACGTACCAGAGGTTAGTAACCAAGATGTTTCAAGAACATATGGAAAAACTATGGAGATTTATATCGATGATATGCTAATCAAATCACATCAGGCGGGGGATCATATCCAACATTGGTCAGATACGTTTCAGATTCTCCGCAAATTCAATATGAAGTTAAATCCCGAGAAATGTGCATTTGGTGTGTCATCAGGTAAGTTCTTAGGTTTCCTTGTTTCTAATCGAGGAATTGAAGAAAATCCAGCACAAATTAAAGCTATTGAAGAAATACCGGATATACTCACGAGCAAAAAAGAAGTGCAGAGGTTGACAGGTAGGATAGCAGCATTGGGAAGATTTATTTCTAAATCTTCGGAGAAAAGCTTTAAGTTCTTTTCAGTGTTGAAAAAGCAAAGCCAATTTGAATGGACTGAAGAATGTCAACAAGCGCTCAAAAATCTAAAAGTATACTTGTCAAACCCACTGTTGCTGGCTAAACCAAAGGATGGAGAAAGGCTATTCATCTACCTTGTTGTTTCAGAAATGGCGGTAAGTGTCGTTTAGTTCGGGAGGATAAAGGTAAACAATCTCCGATTTATTATGTTAGCAAGTCTTTATTGGATGCTGAAACTCAATATCCTCATTTAGAAAAACTTGCTTTAGCATTAATTATGGCATCTAGAAAATTGAGGCCTTATTTTCAATATCACCATATTTCTATAGTGACTGCTTACCCCTTACAAAATATATTGCATAAGCAAGAGTTATCAGGTAGGCTAGCCAAGTGGGCCATAGAACTAAGTGAATATGACATCACATATCAACCTAGAACTGCGATAAAATCACAAATTTTAGCAGATTTCGTGGCTGATTTTAGCCCTGGGATGGCAACAGAAGCAGAAAAAGAACTGCAGGTATTTAACGGGTCTTATCCAGGTACTTGGACCTTGTTTACTTATGGCTCCTCGAATGTTAAAGGAGCAGGTTTGGGTATTGTTCTAATCCCACCTACGGGAGAGACTATAAGGCAAGCCATAAAATGTCATCTTATTACTAATAATGAAGCAGAATATGAAGCTATGATTGCAGGTTTAGAATTGGCATGAGAGCTCGGAATAGAGCAGGTTATAATCAAAAGCGAGTCGCAGCTCGTAGTTAATTAAATGCAGGGGACTTATATAGCTAGAGAGGCGAGGATGCAGCAATATTTGGAAAAGGCACGAGATTTGATCAGACAATTCCAATCTTGGAAAATCGTGCAAATACCCAAGGAAGAAAATGTCGAAGCAGACACGTTGGCTAATCTTGCATCCGCTGCAGAAGCAACGAATGAAGAAAACGCTTCCGTAATTCATTTGTTTCATTCGGCACTCGACCAGGATAAAAACGAGGTAAATTTCAATAATTTAACCTGGGATTGGAGAAACGAAATCATCAATTTTTGCAGTACGGAATTCTACCCGAAGATAAGAAAAAGGCTCAGGCACTTCGACGAAAAGTTGTCCGCTATTGTTTGGATCGAGGCAATTTATATCGAAAGATGTTCGGTGGTCCTTTAGCAAGGTGTCTCGGACCTTCTCAAACAAAGTATGTGATGAGAGAAGTACATGAAGGACATTGTGAAAATCACGCAGGAGGAAGATCCTTGGTAAAAACTCTAATCAGAGCAGGGTATTACTGGCCAAAAATGGAAGAAGAAGCAGAAAGTTTTGTGGCCAAATGTCACAAGTGCCAAAGATATGGTAACAACATGCATTGATTGGCCGAGTTATTACATTTGGTTGTTGCATCATGGCCTTTTATGAAGTAGGGGATGGATATCGTGGGTCCACTACCACAAGCCAAAGGAAAGGTACGATTTTTGTTAGTACTCACTGATTATTTTACTAAGTGGGTAGATGTAGGTGCCTTCAAACAGGTGCGAGAAAAAGAAGTCAGGGACTTCATTTGGCGGAACATCATATGTCGGTTTGGGGTTCCAAAAGAAATCGTGTGTGATAACGGCCCACAGTTCATAGGTGCGAAAATCACAGAATTCTTTCAAAGTTGGCAAATTAAAAGAATTACTTCAACACCTTATCATCTTGTGGCCAATGGATAAGATGAATCAATAAATAAAGTTATTATTAATAACTTGAAGAAGAGGCTAGAAGAGTCAAAAGGTAAATGGCCAGAAGTGTTACCTGGAGTTTTGTGGGTTTACCGAACAACAACGAAAAGAAGTACGGGAGAGATACCATTTTCACTTGTGTACGGCGCTGAAGCCTTAATCCAGTTGAAATAGGTGAACCAAGTACGAGATACACCCAAGCAACCGAAGAGTCAAATGAAGAGGAGATGCGAGTAAATCTCGATTTGCTTGAAGAAAGGAGAGAAACAGCTTTGATAAGGATGGCTGTCCAGAAACAAATTAATGAGCGATATTACAATCGGAAAGCTCATCTTAGGTACTTTAAGATTGGGGACTACGTACTCAAGAAAGTTTTTCAATCAACAAGAGCAGCCAATGCAGGAAAGTTGAGTCCAAATTGGGAAGGACCTTACAAAGTTCAAGGTGTTGCTGGAAAAGGTGAATACGAATTGGAAACCATGGATGGCAAGGTTCTACCCTCGAGTTGGAATGTTGTTCATCTGTAGAAATACTATTTCTAAGGAAATGAAATACCCACGGTCAGGTATCCCTCAATTACAATTTTTATTTTGTGCAGTTAAAATTATACTAACAATTTTAGATGATAGGCAAAAAACTAGCCCGCACCAAATGATGATATTAAACCTGAAAGACACGTGAAAGTAACATAATTCCCAGTCTAGGGTTACAACCTTTCTGATGGAAATATAAAGGGTTAAGCAGTCATCATCTAAATTATATATGCCTCCGAGTCCCGTACGTTTTTCCTTTTTCAGGAAAAGGACCGCATGGAAGAAATAATCAAGTGCTCGAGATTTCATACTTCAAAGCTCAAACACTTGGGGGACTATATATATAAAGATGGCAAAGAAGAGCAAAGAAGACTGGAAAAATCAGAATTCAAGTCAAGCTTAAAGTCTACCCAACAAATCGAAAGTTCAGAGCAAAGTCACGAGCGTTCAAAAATACAAGCCCGATTCAAAAACCTATAAAGAATACACTCGTGGATGTAAATTTCAAAATCTAGGTTAAAGGCAATATTTAGTCATGGGTTGCAAGATATACCCTTGAATATTTTTACAAATCTATTGTAAAGAAAACAGTTACGAAAGAGTTATAGATGATACTTAAATACATTTAAAGCATTATGTAATTTGAAAGTTCGAATGATACAAAACTTTCCTCAAAGTTATTCAAAGAAACGTGTATGTTCCTATCTCTTTTTTCGTATGCTTACACCATTATGAAGTTGAGACGTCTTCTTCATTAAGTGTCGTATATAAAAGGGCCCTCTTTTATAATTCGTGCTTGTTCACAAAAAAAAACCATGAAGTAATGAAGCATTTTATATGCAAAAGTTAAAATAATAGAGGGTAAAACAAAAACTCCAAATAAGTGGAAAATAAAGCCCGAACTTTTAAAGATAAAGCAAGGGTAAACTCCTAAAAGAGTGGAACAGAAACTCTAAATAAAGGTATTATAAGAGTTGGACAAAAATTTCATAATATTATAATAACTTGGTTAAAACTAAGTATGAACTTAGTTCCAACCTGATTGTCTTATACAAAAAAAAAACCAAAACGAACTAGGGGTATGATTTTCCAAAACATTATCCCCAAATGGGACCAAGGGTGAACCTCCAAATGTTCCATCAATTAAAAAAACGACATTTCAAACTTTCTTAAAACTTTCACTGAGGGGCAGAAACTGAACCAGTAGGACGAAGAGCAGGATCATCAGAAGCAGGAAGAGTAACTTGAGCGGAAGGAGATTGAATAGCAGCCTCACCAGGAGTAACTTCATCACCCTCGGGAATGTCAGTCACGGGTGAAGAAAAACTCTGACTTTGTTGGGTTTTCTCAATGGTTTCTTTGATCTTTGCAATCTCAGCAGCTAAGTCAAAGCCTTCCCGGCTTGCTTCCATCAAAGCGTCATGACGTGTGTTCAAAAAATCCCAACTTACTTCAACGGCAACCTTATCCTCGAGAGCTTCATAATCTCTTTCCCAATGCTCAATCTCATTCCTAAGCTTCTCATTCATAGTGAAGGCAGCATTATAAGAAGCCTGTAAGGGGCAAGTGAACTTTCCAAAAATTAAACTCTGCTAGAAGACACTCGGAGATCTTCTTGAGCTTGGGTAAGCGTTTGAACAAGCTCACCGGCGTAAGTTTCTTTCTGGTTCAATAGGTCCTTTAGACCTCTGATCTCTTCAGTGGCTTTAGAGAGTTGTTCAGCAAATGAGGACTCAAGAAGGTTTTTATCTTTGCCCGCCTGATTCGAAGAAGTTTTCTCAACCGCTAGTTCTGCTGCTATAACCTTACTTGCTGCTCTAAGGTACACTTATCTTCATCTAAAACCTCCATTTCAAGTTGAAGACCCTCGTACTGCTCTTTCCAATTGTCGGCATCAGTATGATAGTCATTCATAAGCTGCTCCGTATGGATAATCCTTTTCATCATCTCTGTACCGATGAGATTAATCTACACAATGAAGGAAAAAATGTGATACTAGTAAAAGAAAAATCACGCAAAATAAGAAGACAAGGTTTATACCTTTAAAGATGAATGCACAATATCGTTCATCCACGTTAGAGAGCTATGACTTTCTAGTTTGGACTTCTCAACTAGGCCTATCAGTGGTTTCAACCACACGTCAGCTTGGTCTGATGTCATCAAAAGGTTACCATCTGCAGGAACCTCGATGGTAACTTGCTTCATTGCCCTACTGCTACTAGAGGAACCAATTTCAGCATGGGAAGTCGTGGCAGTAGGAACCGTTGAAGAAGTCAAAATAGCCATGGAAGGAGCAATGGAAACAACAGTATGTACAGGCAACTGAGATTCAATTGGAACAGACACAGGAAAAGAGGCAAGAGGTGTTTCCTCAGAAACAAAACCAAAGTTTTCTTCATCAAATCCACGAGAAAAGAGTGGTTTAGCAGAGTCACGGGGTGCTGCAGGCGTCTCCTCATCAGAACTCACTAAAGTGGCACTTTCAGGCTCAAACATGGAAACAGGACGAGGATGAGGAGTAGCTTCGTCATCTGAAATGACCCGTCTTCTAGCTCGTGGCTTACGAACCAATGAACCTTCATCTCGCTCCTCTTCATCTTCAGAGTTCTGTGGTCTATCAGCTTTTCTTTTTCATGAGGAACTCAAGATTATCTCTTGAACCTTTGATAGAGAGAGCCTCGAAGCAGTGATTGATGCAGCACTCACACCCCGAATGGGAAACCCTAGTAAAGAAAAGGGTTAATAAGTCCCAGGGTGAGCATGAGAATAAAGAAGAACGTGAAAAAGAAAGTTACCGTGAGTCTTAACTTTCCACCCAAATCTGTTTGAAAGGTATTTCCAGAACCTTTCTTCCATTGAAGCAACTGTTAATAATTTTTCTACCCAACCACGGAAATCAGAAATTTCCTCAACAGTTCTCATGGTTGCTGAAAAAGAAAAGTAAAACAGTTACAAGGCTACAAGTTCTTTTTTAAAGAAGAGAAATAAAAGAGTGAAACTAAAACTCACGTGCAAAGTTCCACTTATTAGAGAAGGGCATATTTTCTTCGCCTACTAACTCACTTGTAGGAGAGGCAACAAATCGGGCGTACCAGCCACGGTCTTTGTCGTCTTCAGGACTAACCAAAACTCTCTTACTTCTCGCCACAAGAGTAAAAACCCTATGACAGAATAATTTGGGAGAGTAAAGATGAACCGGATGATAAAAAGTAAAGGGTAACTGAACCACATTTGACAAATATCTAAGGCATGACACTGCCCTCCATACGATAGGGCCAATTTATCCTAAACATACGTCAAAGAAATGGCAAAATTCAATGATGACTGAGTCAATAAGCGGCCTAAAACCTAATGTAAAGGGATATGTATACACAAAAGAAAAACCAGATTTAAAAGAAGTGATCCTTTGATTCTCGTTAGGGACCAGAATCGGGAAGTCGAATTTCCAATGGCAATCTTTACGCACAACAGAAACCAAACCCTCGGTGATTTGGGAAGGGTAAACATCAGCGCGATCGTGAAAAGTCATGGAAGTGACTTGATTTCTAATTGATTCTCTGTCCGAGATAAAGGAAAGTTCAACGGGAATAATCTCGTCAATAGTAGGCTCACGAAGTGGTTCACTAGAATCTCTATTTCTAGCAGAAGATCTATGTGGAAAAGAAGCCCTAGTTCTTGAAGAAGATGGAGGAGTAGAGCTGGGTTGAGAAGAAGAACCACGTACAGAAATTGATCCTAAACTACGCAACCTACCACCTCTCATACTTCTAGTAGGAGCAGAAGAAAGGGGAAGTTCATCTACAATGACAACTTTTCGAGGATCAGGATTTGAGGAAGACATAGTTGTATAAAGAAGTAGAACGTATTAAAGGATAAGAACAAGATGTGAAAAAAGAACACTGAAATTTTTTCGTGAAAGTAAAGGCAAAAGATGTATTTATATGCAGAGGCGACCGTCCTGCAAAAAGGTAATGATAGAAACATCATTATGAAAACTGTCACTTCATGACTGATGCGACTGTAAAAAAGCCCTAAAACCCGTTGTAGAGTTGCAGAGCCAATCGATGATTGCCACGTGTCACATGCATTAAATGGAAGTGATATACGACGCATCAGTTCAGAAGAAGATACAATGGCACGTGAGAAACGGCGGCAAAAATCCCCGCCATAAATGAGATCCACTTCCCAAATATTCAGTTGCTGAATAAATGGAAAGTGGGGGGACTATCTGTAAATAAATTTTACACGTGGAATTAATTATGTGGTTGACATGGCAAGACATGTGGATCACTAGAAAAGCGACAGCTGGAGAAGAGTATTGGAAAAGGCGTAAGTCTTAATAGGTACGAGCAAAACATTTAAGGGACAAGAAGGAACGGTTGCTCTAGTCTCTTAAAGAGGCACCGGTGAAATGAACCAAGACTATAAAAAGGGCAGATTCATTGATCTTCAATTAATGAGCATGAATGTTACAAACGTTACAGAATCTCATGAAACAGTTACGACTACCAATTATAACGTTTCATTAATGTCATTAATGCTCATAATGATTTAGCCATAAAAGGGGAAAAGACGTTGTACTTAGGAGTCACTATATAAGGGAAAGAAATATCATCTGTAGAGGGATATCCTGATTATTATTGGAATACAATTATTTACTTTTGCTTTCTACTGATTACTTTGCTATTCTAATTCTCTTTCTTACTATAAGAATATCGATTTTATTGATTATTAGTAACCCGAGTACTTCTAAAAATAGGCTTTGATCGAAATTCCTATTTTTTGGTTAAGCAATATGTTAGGAGAAATCTATATACTTTAAAACAAGATAATTTAGCAATTTAACATTAACCTAATTCATAGAAACAAACCAAATTACAAACTCTGTATTAGCATAGAAAAAAATATATCAATATATAACCATACAAATACATTTAAAATAATCAAGCAACTATACAAACCCACAAAAAGAAAGTAAAGACAACTATCCAAGTGAGGTGAATTTTGAAATAGGTGAAATGTATAAGGGATCGATCTTTACCGACATCTACATGATCATTTGTATAATTAAACTAACACTTATTTAAATTGGAACTGACATTTGTTAACAAACATTTACTTGAATAAAAAGTAACATTGATTTGAACTAATTCAATGTAATCATATAAAAATCATGTATATTATAGTATATCATATTATCTTCAAGTAAGAGAGCGAGAGAGAGAACTAACCGCTCGAGCTCGATAATTGGCGACGGCAAAGGCAAAGAAGGAAGCAGCAACAACGGGTGAGGGGCTTAGCAACTGCGGGCGAGATGGCGACTGATCGAGAGAGACGAGTGAGAAGCGAGAATTCTTCGTAAGTGGCATGTGTGTGTTTTAGGATTTTCTCAGTTCAATATCATTTGATTATAATTTATGTGTTTTTTATTCAAAAAAAATTATAGAAGACCACAAAACAGAAAAAAAGGCAACAGTTGGGTTGGGCATAGGGCTCGAGATATCATGAAATTTGTTCACTTTTGCTATTATATATCCCAAAGACATACCAGTTATTGAAGGATTCAGCAACTTGCATACGGACAACCCTTTCACCTACATAAATGGTGTTAATTTTCTTCGAAGGGTTCCGAGGGCTAGTATCTCTTTTCTTTTTTCTTGATTTTTTTTTTTTTTTTTTGATAAAAGTATCTTTTTTTGTGTGTAATAAAACTTTACTTCAATTAGAAACACCAAGGGGTCATTTGGTACGATGGACAAGCAAAAATAATCTTAGAATAAGAATTTGATACCGCCTCATCACTTGTTTGGTTACTAATCCTGGAATAAGTTTTTCCAGGATTAAAAATAGTACCAGATTACTTATACCCCGCCAGAGAGTAGAATAATAATCTCAGGACCAGTGGCGGACCCAGAATTTTGTGCAAGCGGGTTCAGTCGGAGAAGTCCATAACTAGCATAAGCGGTATAAGCCGTATAAGCGGGTTCAAAATTAATTTCTATACAAAATTTACCTTGCTTTAGCCATAATTTATACATATACAAAGTATTATTTTTTGACGAAGCGGGTTCAGTTGAACCCACTTCTCACCACTTAGGTCCGCCCCTGCTCAGTACAAGTTATCCCACGATAAAGTAGTAAAATTAAAAATCTCAGAATTGATACAGCATACCAAATAGTCAGTAATAAATAATACCAGAATAACTAATCACAGCATAACTAGTCCCGGTATAACTTGTCCTCAAACCAAACGATCCCTAATAGTACAAATTTTGGAGCTAACTTCCACAAGTTTGAGTGTGACGGCCAAAAAGTAACTATAAGGAGGAAGTCCCGACTATAAAAGGATTGGGTTAATTTCACGAAAGGTTACTCAATTTTCATTTTATTGCACCAAGGTTATTAAATATTTTTTGTAATGAAAAAGTTATTCAAGTTTATTTAAGTACTAATCATTTAAGTCACTAAACTATTTATTGAAACAAAAATAAAGTCACTCGATTTTGCGTAATTATTTCAGAAACTCACTAGGAGAACACAAAGGAGACATGTTCTATATATGATACTTGGGTCAACTTGAGTGACTTTTAGGTTTACAAAAACATTTGGCTTTCCATTATATATAGGCAAAGTCAAGTAACTTCTTTGTTGTAAAATATAATTTAATGACTTTGATGCTAAAAAGTTGAATAACCATCCGTGAATTACGATTAAGGAGCAATAGTGCATATCCGTATTACTGATAAAAAAAAAAACTAAGAAAATGTTAAATATATTTTTTAGGTGAAAACAAAAAATTTTATTAATCACCAATACCCCAATAAAACAATCATAACGAAGCCAAAACACGGCCCCTAATTGCCTATACTACAGCTACAGTAAAGAAGCCCCTCCTATCCCCCATTTCCTTTATCATTGTTTCTAATCTACTCCTTTCAACTCTTCCTATACAACAATTGGTCTATACATTCCCACTCATTCCTACTACTCTTCTTATTCAAAATTGTTACTACTCTAATCTTACAATATTGTTGGACTTGTTCATATATCACTCACGGAGTTGGGACTTTGTAGTTTCATAGGGCCATTCCTGCCCTCCAGATTCTATACATTAGCGCAGCCACCATTGATGTGACAAAATCCCTACAGATTTTCCCTTTAACCCCTCTTACTACCCTTCGCCAAATCCCCTTTATATTGTTTCGATTATGCCGCTATGCACCCATTGCAACAGTAGTTGAAGACATCTCGGAGAGTTTGCACTCAAAGAACAGATGTTCCACAGTCTCCAGTTGATTTCCACATATTAGACACCAGCTATCTTGGCTAATCCTCATCTTTAGTAGCATGTCCCTCGTTAACAGTCTCTTATGGATAGCAAGCCAACTGATAAAGCAGTGCTTGGGAACATTCAGCCTGCTCCAAACCCCCCTGTACCATGGCCAATCTTCTATAGTCCCCTTCCTCCACTGGTACCCACTACGCACTTAGTATCTACCATCCTGTTTAAGCCAGCCATTGTTCACAAACCCCCCGGCAAATTTGTTCCTTATTGAACAAATTTTTCTCCGGTACTGTCAGATGGAGGAGAGTATTGCCACCATGGTCTATCCTCTATATACAAGTGGTAACCCACTTAACCTATAAAATGTTGAATATATGAACTATATGTAATAAACATTTGCTAATACATTTTCTCTAATATTAGAAGCAACAGTTTGGGTCCTTCAGCTGCATGTATCATCAAAGTTATAACTATTTATTTCTAACTATTTTTACGCACAAGATTATTTTTGTAACGACCCGACTGGTCGTTTTGAGTATTTGCACTTCGCTCGGTAGTTTACGGGCGTGAGTAGCTCCGTATGATGTATTTTGACTTATGTGAATCGTCGGTTTTGATTTTCAGGTTATTCGGGTGATTTGAAAGAATGATTCTCGACTAGGGAGCTTTAAATTTGAAAGAATTGACTGAATTTAACTTTTTAGTATTTGACCTCGGATTGGAATTTTGATGGTTCTGTTAGCTCCATTGGGTAATTTTGGACTTAGGAGCGCGTCAGGATTGTGATGTGGAGGTCCGTAATTGAATTTGGCTCGAAATGGCGAAAGTTGGATTTTTTTGGAAAGTTTGACCGAGTAGACTTTTTGATATCGGGGTCGGATTTCAGTTCCGGAAGTTGGAGCAGGCCCGTAATGTCAAATGTGACTTGTGTGCAAAATTTGAGGTCAATCGGACGGGATTTGTTATGTTTCGGCATCGGTCGGGGAAGTTTGAAGTTTCCAAGTTCATTGTTTTTGGATTGAGGTGTGATTCGTCATTTCGATATTGTTATGTGTGTTTTGAACCCTCGAATAAGTCCGCGTTACGTTATGGGACTTGTTGGTATGTTTGGACGTGGTCCCGAGGGGCTCGGGTGAGTTTCGGATAGGTTTGGGTTGTGTTGTGCTCATTTTTTTATGTTTTGACGTTGTTTTTTCAAGTATAAATGGTACTACATTAAGCAAATGAGCTACAAATTCTGTTTTTATTGAAGCATTAGATCCGTATTGTAATTACGGAGCCATAGTAAAAAGAATTATCGAATTTGGACATCGTATGAGGAGTTTATGGTCATTTTACTAAGAATTGGGTTGCCAGATTTTTCCAGATTAATTACGAAATTGTCACTGATTTCGTATTTAAAAATCTACACTATTTCCAAATATTGAAACCAACATATCTTCTTCAATATAAGGTCAAATGGAGTGATTCAAGAGCCTAACTTGACTAGAATTTAACAAGGAATCCATTGGAAGCATCAAAAACGAGTTTCGAGATTATTTGGCACAAGAAACGAGGCAGAACAGTGTTAAAACGAGGGTTTTGTTCATTTAACATATTTTAAGTTGGGGAGCTCGGAATTGGGAAATTCTTTAGGGGATTTTCACCATATGAATTGGGGTAAGTGTTCTCTACTCAGTTTTGGTTATATTCCATGAATCTATCTTCGATTTTAGCTTTTGGCTGATGAATTTTAAAGAGGAAATTGGGGGTTTTGGCCTAAAGTTTCATAATATGAATTTTTGAGTTTTGAACATCGATTTGGAGTCGGAATTGAGTGAAACTAGTATGGTTGGACTCGTAATTGAATGGGTTTCCGGATTTTGTGAGTTTTGTGAGCCCGGGTGTGATTTTTGGCCGAATTTGGGATTTGATTTAGGATTCGATCTTTATTATTTGAAATTGTTTCCTTGGGCTTTATTTGATGTATTTGAGTTGCTTTTGGCTAGTTTCGAGTCGTTCGGAGGTATTACGCGTGTGATGGCATTTTTAGAGCATCGTTTGGCTTGCTCGGTATTGTTATTGGCTTGTTCAAGGTAAGTGTTTTGCCTAACTTTGTTGAGGGAATTTTTCCTCCTATTTGTCATTGTTTGCTACATGCGGGGGTGATACATATATGAGGTGATGAGCGTATATGTATGTGTCTGGGTTAATCATGCTCGGGGGTGGATTATGTTACATTTGTGTTTGTAGAATTTCGTGACCTTCTTGCTTCATGCCTCACTTGACTTCTAGATATTGAGAACATCGTATTAAATGTTTGAATCGAGACTTAGTCTAATATAACTTGATCAAATTTGATGGAATTCTGAGAATACATTGATGCGTCTAATTCGGTCATCTCTATGCATAATCATTAATATATTGCTATGGCCGATATTTTGAGATGCTAGATCTCATACTTGTGTTGTTGATAAATTGTGGGATTTGTGGAAGTACTTGAATTATATGGCCCTTGAGAGTTCATTGAATCATTGTTGGCTTGTAAAGTAGTGATTAAGAATTTGTTTGGAATATTCGTTGAACACTCTCCTCGATTTTATTTATACTTCTTGCCTTGTCATTTTATTGACATGCATATGCTTGGTAAGGAAGAGTGTAAAGCACGAAGGGTGATGCCGTGTCATTTTATATTCATTATCATGTGACGAAGAATGTAAAACACGAAGGGTGATGCCATGCCATTTTATATTCATTATCATGTGAGGAAGAGTGTAAAGCACGAAGGGTGATGCCATGCCATTTTATATTCATTATCATGTGAGGAAGAGTGTAAAGCACGAAGAGTGATGCCGTGGCATTTTATATTCATTATCATGTGAGGAAGAGTGTAAAGCACGAAGGGTGATGCCGTGTCATTTTATATTCATTATCATGTGAGGAAGAGTGTAAAGCACGAAGGGTGATGCCGTGTCATTTCATTCATATTGTTATGCTTTTAATATCATGAGGTCATGGCACGAAGGGTGTTTCCGTGAAGGTGAGGATGAGGGACATGCTAAATAATGTGATATTTGTTTCTCGTGTATATGAATATGCCCTTACCTTTAGCTGTTATTGTTGTATTTACATATATTTGTGTGACTCTTTTTAATGTCCCATACTTTACCTCTATCTCAATTGTTGTTGCACTGTCCATGTCTTTTATTGCTTAACTTGCAAATACCATACCTATTTCCTGCTTTTATAATTATACTCATGTTGTATCTATTCGGTTGCACTATAGTATAAGTCTTCCACCATGCTAGCCATTCATGCCCTTATTTGTCAACTTGTAAAGATCATGTATTTTCGTCTTATTTGTTATATTTGTATTTAGGCCTCCAATATGCTAGTTAATTGAAGTTAATATTTCTTGTTTTCCAATTGTTGTTATTACTCACGTGTTTTCCGCTTAGTCTTTTACTGTTGCCCACATGTGTATCCTTGTCCATTGTTGTACTTGCGTATTTCCTACTTTGTAATTCCTGTTATCGATATTTCTATCATCTGGTTGGTTCTGTTACTCGTACATTTGGGAGGATGAGTTGAACACACGAAGGGTGTTGTCATGCTGATTTGTCACAAATAAATTATATATATATGTGGTGAGGCAGAGATAGAAGCACAAAAGGTGTTACCGTGCCATTTGACGTGATATCTTGGATATACTTCTTATACCAGGAAAAATTGTAAATCTACTACTGAGATTCCTTTTAGTAATTGTTGATTGTCTCGCAGAGTTGTATACGGTACTTTTATCTGTTATGCTTTGAACTGCTTTTACTATTAACATAATGTACAGGTTATAACAATAAGCATCTTTTAACTAAAAGCCTCGTCACTACTTCGACGAGGTTAGACAAAATACTTACCAGTACATGGGGTCGGTTGTACTGATACTACACTTCTGTATGATGTGTACAGATTTGTGAAGTTGAGTTGCTGGTAGGGGTGTACGAAGAAAACCGACAAACTTCACCAACCCGATAATCCGAGTCAAACCGAGAAAAAAAAACCCGACTATGGTTTGGTTTGATTT